CCCTTCCGGGTGCCCCTCACTCCCTACCCACAGCCCCTGCCCCCGGCCAGCCCTGCTGGTGCCCCTCACACCAGACCTGCAGCCCCCTTCCCTGCCCCCAGCCCTGCCAGTGCCCCTCACACCAGACCCGCAGCCCCCTGCCTCCCCCCCAGCCCTGCTGCCCAGGTTAAGCAGCTCCCGCATTGCATGCGCGCATGCTCTCTCTCTCTCTTGCGCAGGGAGCATGTTACCCCCAAAAGCCAATCAGCTTGCCACTGCTCCCAATCTGGAGCAGACCCAGACAGCAGACAACCCAGAAATTTCCTCTTATTTTAAAAACCCACCCAGAGGCAGTACAGGGGTCCAAAAAAGACGACATGTCCTGGAAATCCCAGACGTATAATAACCCTACAAAAAGCTGGAGGTTCAATCCAGTCAATCTTCACAGGTTAGTCTAATGGTGAAGATTAAACTGATAAACAAGTGAACAGGCATTCACTTGATTTTGAAAATGCATCCACAAGCCTGCAATGGCCCAGGCCAGAAGCTGGAGGGCACTACAGCATGCTTCCTTGTCAACTTGGTCCAAGGCTAGCCTGCCCACCCTATGAGGGGTTGGTTGTGGGAGAGGTGCAAAACATCCTGGGATGCTGGGGGACTGCGAGTTAACTTGAATCTGGAGGGAATCAAGGATAGAATTTCAATAAACCAATTTAACCTAACTCAGTTTGATACATCCATCCAGGTTTATCTAAACTGGTTTCAGCCATTTTGAAAGAAGTGTATGTGCACTGAACTTCTGTTGTGTTACAGATTTGAATGGGTTTCTGATCACTTATACTGGTGAACGTGTAATTTCTGTCCCTAGCCAATGTGTGTGCACAGGGACATGAGATCTGAGGAGACCTGAGAAATAGCTGTAGGCATGGTTAAATATTTCAGTAAACAGATTTAGCAGCACACAAATTGGGTGTTATGTACAATGATTACATATACAAGTAAACACATACAAGAATGTCTCAGTGACCTCAGCAGGGTTGCTGAAACACACAACTACTTGCAGAAACAACACTAGTACTACAGTGCGTGTATATTAAATACGTAACTATGGGATAATGCTGTCTGAATGACTTGGGCCAGAGCATGGTCAGATGACAGGTAGTCAATGTCAATAAACTGAGAAGCCAGTCATCTTCAGCTCCAAATTCCAGTCCACATAAATATATGTGGTAATGCTGACAATGCTAGATCAATCAATACACAGCCATGATACAGAATATCTACTAATAATGGCACAAAAATAGGTACCAGTCAAATACCAGAGAATAATGGAAGTTAGAGCTGGGATGGACAATTATTTGGGCTTGATGAGTTTTGGTGAGCTGCTGCGGAGGGACGGGATGGTAAGATGCCAATTGATCCTATCTGTCCCTCTGGTCATCACCAAGAGCTTGAGGAGGGAGGACTGTGCACTGCACCATTTGGCTCTGCCCCAGCTGGGACCAGGCTGGCCTGCGCACAGATTTCTTTGCCCCCCACCCCACCCAACATCCATCTCCCCCCACCCCCATTTGGCTTCCTGTTAGTGCTGCGCAGTCCTGTCACCACAACCTCTGGCAGCACGGTCCACACAGGACGGGCCATGATGCAATGCACCAAGTAGCTGTCCTGCCTGCCTGTCATAATGATCTGCTGTCACCACGCTGTAGTGGGAAAGTCAGGGGTGTCTGCCCCAGGCCAAGCACCCACCCCATGCAACTGGCACAGACTCACCTCCTAGTGGCGCCGCAGCGGCAGCAGTTGGTCATGGTGGGCAAGCAGGTGCAATGTGCTGAATCAAGCCCTGTCCTGTGCACTGCTGGCCCAGTTGCAGGTGGCCAGAGTGCCAGGACTGTGCAGCCACAGCACCAACAGGAAGCTGGGTAAGGAAGGGATGGAGGAGGGTGGAGGAATCTATGCACTGTATGACCCAGTCCAGTACAGCCCTGGCTGCAGCAGAGCGGAGTGGCGTTGGGTACAACCTTCCCTCCTCAGGCTCCTGGTGGCAGCTGGTGGGCTACATAGGATCATTTGGTGGCCTAGATACAGCCTGCAGGCTGTATTTTGCCCACCCCTGTGCTAGAGTATTCTTGGGCTGCCCCACCTAGATGTTTCCAATTAGTAAATAACTAGAATTTGGGGTGCTAAATTTTATAGAGTCCATCCAGGAAGAGCACACACCAACTGCAGATGCTTCCTCAGCCTGATGAAGTGTTTTTAAACCTGAAAGCTTGCTAAGAAAAAAAATTCTAGCTATTTAAGTTGGTCTAATAAAAGAGATCAGATTCACCCAAAGAACCTTGTCTGCCTATGTCCTTTGACCAACACTGCTACAACCTACACCCCTGTCACTGTACTCTTAGCATTTCCTATACTGCAATGGTCATTAGTGATGTGAAGATAAATAAACATCCCTCTAAACAGGGATTCATTTGTATTGAATAATGTGAAATCAATTATAATAGATGACAAATTCAACTACTTACTGATTTTCTGGATTTAAAAATGTGAAAACAGCACCAGTTAGGATAAACACCATATTATGTAATGCAAATACGTATTGATTTAATTTCTTGGGGAGTTTCCAAGACAAATGTTTCATTAGATATGCACTCATGAAATGTTGAAAGGTCTATCAATAATTACTGGAATTAAAGGATTAATATAATTCTATTGCATAGTTTTAAGTAACTTAGTATTCAATTTTTTTTCTCTCACTGGTAACTGGATCCAGTAGAGGTAGATATCATGCCTAAGAGATGTTGTCCTAAAATTACATCAGGTTTGAAACTAAGTGATATATTTTTCTATAAATTAACCAAATTGCAAAAGTAAGCATTTACAGAGACCAAT